CTTTGGCCAAAGTCTTACATAGCCAACGGCTGATACAGGACTATAATGGAATAATAATAATAATAATAATACTAGTTAGTGGTGAAGCTTTATCTTTCTAAAACATTGCATTACCAGCGAACGATATCGATTCCCGCCAATTCCTTATCTTTTACCCGCATGTGGAGCTTGTGATTGCATCAGTTCATAACAACCACGATGAGTAACGAACCTTGGCTTACCTGTGAAATGAAAAGATCCACGTGGCGCTTCATTAGATACTCCTGAGCCTTGACGGTTTTCTCAGAGAAGGCGGGGCCCATCACTCGGCGGAATCGTTTATGGTCTGCCGATGCACACAAATTAGAAACCGCCTTTATGTTTTTGACACTTATTACCTTCTAGGCCTGCTGTTACCTGGTATCGACTTGCGTTAGCTGACATACAGCATTTAGCCATATGAGATGACTTACGATTGAATTAGATTCCCCAACATTTGTATACCAAGTTTTATCTTTTTCAAATGAGCCTTTTGAAGCAACGGTGGCAGAAGATCGATGGCCTTAGGGAAGTCAGAACGAGGAGCGTGTAATGGAAGGTGAAACAACCATAGATATCGTGCCAAGCATCGCCGGAAGAGTATGAAAGTTCATCTGGTGCAATACGGACAACTGAACCATATTTTTCGTGAAGGGCTTTCGTCATGAATGGAAGATCTCCACGGAATTGGTAGTAGATACTGCAATCATGATCAGTCCTGCATCATCGTGATGAGAATGGCCGAAGGAAGATTTACTAATATAGACGAGAAGCTCGGCCGAGCATCGGTCCTGGATATGAGCGCAGAGGGTGCAAGAGAAGATTGTATGTTGTTTTACAAAATATGAGTAACAATGCCTAGATAGATTCAACTTTGAGTAGCTGTACTTGTGAAGTATGATACCGGCCTTGAGATTTCACCAACAGAAAGTTTATGCACGTACCAATGAGCTTAGAAAACTGAGCAGAAAAGCTAAGTCAGACAATGAATTAGGCCATACAACCAAGCTCAGGTTGCTGGAAGCCATCTCTACTGTGTACAATGTTTAGGAAAGAAACTTGTCGAATATCGTCCCTGAGGCTTCCGAATACAATGTTTTGGTGCAGTATGTATTGTGCTGGGTGAGAATTCTCTTTCGCAGTCGTCCTTGCAGCAGATACTAATCAGTGAGTCCAAAACTTGGAGAAGCGCCAAGACATTATTTCTCTACGATGGTAGGACCCTGTCTTAGCTCGGCGCATCCGGAAACGGTAATAGCGGGTACCGTTTTTAGCAAAACTTTAGTTCCTGAAACAATCAGACTAATCTAGTTAGTCTCGCTATACCACAGCTGGCTCTTGCTTGTTCAAGTTAGAATCGCTTGAATGGCTCTTCTTAGGTAGCAAGACGGCAAGATTTATCTCGACAATATGCTATGTAATAGCATCTAACCCCAATTCTAGCACATTTCCACAATTCGCACATGTGAACAAGTCGCAATGGATCAGCCAACCTTGCGCGAACTCGTCATCAAAACAGTTCTTAGCCCTCTGAGTGTGCTAGCAATTACTACGTTTCTCTTCTGCTATATTGCGAACATCTTGTTCAGATCCTTACGGCATAAGAAAGTTTTTCCTGTCTTTGGCGATAAAAATGACCCTGCAAGCTTTCGCGACGTGATAAGAGATGCCTACAAGAAGGTTATGGTCCGAACAACACTAAGATTTTAGACAAGTATTGACTCAGGATTCTAGCATCCAAATACATTCTATACCCTACCGACAGAGCCAATCAACAATGTCATCGTTCCGATCAAATATGTTCCTGAGATCAAATCTGTTCCAGAAACTCAACTATCGTTCATTCAACATAACTATTTTCGATTTATTGGAAAACATACAACAATCATTACTCAACGCGACCACCAACTCATTGAGAAAGGGTACCCAAAAGACAAAAGATTAATAGAGCATGCTTTGATTGATAGCATCAAGATTGATTTGACCCGGTTTCTTGGTCATACAATGTTTGTTATGCAAGACGAAGCTAGTTGGGTATTGCAAGACATGTTTGGTAATTGCCAAGGTATTCTACTCGCCGTTGCCAAATGACATGTTTCTAAACAGGTGTGCAGACTGGACGCCAATTCACTTATATGCAAATGCATTGCGGATAATTTCCTTTGTATCAGGTGAGCTTCAAACTCTGATATCTCTATCCGGCGAGCGCTTACTAAAATAAAATGAAAAAAGGACGTGTATTCATTGGCCTACCAATGAGTAGAGATGAGCGATGGCTTAAATCTACGATAGAGTTTACTGTTGATACTTTCCTGGGAGGCAAGAAGTTGTCCGAATATCCCCGGGTTTTCTGGCCAATCCTGGAATACGTCCTGCCAGAGCTTCGCAGAGTTCGGTGGCATTATAAGAACGTCAAGAACTTACTGCAGGTAAGTTTATGCGCCAAGCAAGAACAGCTTGACCATTGCTAATGAATACCATACAGCCTCTGCTTGAGGCGCGCCTACAGGACATGGAAGACCCAGACTTCAAGCGTCCAAAAGATATGCTCCAATGGGGTATTGACAACTCCAACGGCAACGAGAGAAATATCTGGTGGCAGACTATGTTTCACTTGAAGATCTCAGTTGCAGCAATCCATAGCACTGGAATTAGTGTAAGTTTCTAAGAGACCTAATGACGCGCTGTTCATTATATGAACTACGCTAAAGTGATTAGCTTTACCATATATTGTTCGACATAGCCGCACTACCGGATACGCATGAGATTCTACGGCAAGAAATTGCCGATGTCGAAGCGAAATACGGTTGTCCTCTCCCTAAAGTAGGGCTCACAAAACTTCACAAACTTGATAGCCTTATGAAGGAATCGCAGCGTATGAATCAGTTGAACATACGTAAGTGCTTTCGTCAATTACTCCTACGTTTTTGTTCCCTGTACCAGAAGAATGATGCTGCATAAGAGGCTAATGGGTTCTTTCTTGTAGTGACAATGACGCGTAAGGTCATGAAGGATATGAAATTTTCTGACGGGACGACAATTCCTAAGGGTATGTTCATCGGTGTAGCTTCTGGAGCAGTGAATAGGGACGCGGAAATATTCGATAATCCCAACGAGTTTGATCCTTGGAGATTCTACAAATTAAGACAAATACCTGGGATGGAAAACCAGCATCAGTTTGTATCCACAGGGTGAGCTCTATCTCTAATAAATGTCGAACCTTTGTAGGATTTACGCGCTAATTATCGTTACAATCTTATAGGGACATGAACTATAACTGGGGCCATGGAACCCATGCATGTCCAGGGCGCTTTTTCGGTAGTAATGAGATCAAGATCATCGTTGTTGAGTTTCTCAAGAATTTTGAGCTAAAACTGCTCGCTGGGGCGAAAAGGCCTGAGAATAATTACTGGGGAATGGAAGTTCGTCCCGATTTTGGAGCGCAAATGCTAATTAGAAGAAGATAGCTCCAAGGCAACTTAGATCATGAGAATGGGCATAGTTTGTTAACAAGATATATATTGTATTTTCTTTCCGAAAGGACGCCTACCCTAGAAAATCAATCACTCTACATAGTGCCCCTTTTACCTCTTCGTTTAAAATAACATGCTCAGGACATTAGGTACTAGGTCCCCTCTCCATTGAAGATCGTGATCCGGGGACCCCTACACCCGTCAATGTATCATCCAGTAGTTTAGTAAGGTGATGAGAAAAAGATGCAATTATATGCAACACTAAATCAAGGAAAGAAAAGCCGGTTTTCGATTTCAACAAATTACCACACTTTATCATGCTCGTTGACAGAGGTTTGTCCCTTTTCGATTGAATTTAAACTTATCACCGCGTTTAAACTGAAATGCAACGATCACTCCTATAAACCTCTGAGCAAAGCCGTCGACCTATACTAAAATTCCACGCCTCTAATCGCTACCTACTTCAGATACAAGGCTCTAATCTTCTGCCCGACTTGGTCTAAAAGAACCCGATGCATTTCCCACTTTCTTAGAGCAGCTAATGCCTGTATCTTGCTGTGGAACTGTGCTAACTTTCTGATCTGACACTTCACCAACACAGCTACTAACAGTAACTGCTCCTCTCTCTGGTCCACGCAATACTCTCCAAAAGATATCGTTTTGAGTTTTTCCAGCCCTAAATCATTCTGTGATGCATCAATCGAAGAGAAGGAAAGCTGTGTTGCTTCTCCTGACGAGCTGAAACTACTTTCTTGACCAAAAAACATATCAAGAGATTGCCATTCAGATGTTGTGATTCTACTTTTGTATCGTTTTAGCGAGCGATCAAATGAATCAATAGATTTCTCAAAAGTGGTCGTAATCAACATCATAAGATCGCTTTGGTGATTACACGTTTGGCATGTCGCGCCAACCGATAAGTGATTCAGAATTTTCTTGATCATGTCGAGAGCTTGATGTATCTGGTGAGTCTTACCGTCAACAGACTCTCCACTGACCCTTGTCAAGGTTTCTAAAACCATACTTGAGCAATGGCAGGTGGTCAGTGATGTCAGGGCGGACGAGGAACTCTGCTTCCGAGAAGCTTGATATGAATCTCCAAAGCCTACTTGGGAAGATCCAAAGACTGGAGACATCAGATGAGTTGGTTCTGAGATTATGGGGAACTCCAAGCAATCGTGCGCATTGTTGGAGATGAGGTTTGCTGGATGTGTTCCCTGTCCGAGTGCTTTCTCATAATTGCTTATGGCATTTCCAGTGGAGAAATTTCGCTCAGAATGGAAGTCATTATATTGGCCATCTATTTCACAGCAGGGTTAGCTGATTACAATAAAATAGTAATCAAAAATGTGAGGTAAGTGGAGTGGGAGTATATACTCGAGAAGGGGATTCGTTTCCGTACCTTCAAGACGCGCTTTATCTTTCTTTGCTGAGCTGTTGATTGAACTGGAAAGAATTTTTGAACAGTCCATGTCCATATTTATCAAACTCATAGAGCTGTCCCCGAATAGCTCGGCTGCTGTTTACATTCATCAGGCTGTACATTTTGCAAGTTCAGCTATAGAAAGCTTACCTTCCAGCGACTCCCAGTAGGGTTCCAAATCAAAAGACTCAGATTGATTCAGAAACTCTTCATATATCAGTTCTATAGGTGATGAATTTGTGCTCTCAGATTCTGATCTTGCTTCTGTTGTATGATACTCTGGTTCAGAGCGGATTTCACTGCCGGCATTTGTAATCTTAGTCTCCACTACGGTATTCGATTTATTTCGAGCCCTTTTCGTCTTCCGGTTCCTCTGTGTATCATGCTTGGTGTTTCGAGAATATACACATTTCAGCTGCTTCGAGTTGCATTGATCACATGCTGTTTTCTGACCCTCGCATCTGAGCTGTGAATTGTATTAGCAGTGCACAAGGAACAGATACAAGTTCCTGGAAGTGATGAAGGAAAAACTAACTTTCTTTGCACGGCAATTCAAGCAAGCTGTTCTTTGGATACTTTGAGGTATGGAATTGGGCGCGTAAGGAACAAACGCTCTTTCCGCGTTTGGCTTCAGTACCAAGAACATGGGACGCGAGAGTTTCGATGTTACGTTTTCCAATATGCATGGCAGGCCATAGACTTTCGGTATTTATGCAAATGGAATCTACGTGTCCCCCTAGTGCAAATATTCTGAAGATCATTTGTGCTAGTCTAGCGCCGATTACAGGGCTCTCGGTCGCCGGATGAATTCGGAGAAAAGGTCAGACCAGTACTAACGGTATACTAACGCCCGCCTCAAAATCTATGTTGCTATAGCAAAGCTGCTAGTAGCATAGTACTTAATACGTACTGGATTATAGTAAATACAGGGCTACTAAGATTACTTTCAATTATTTTATAAAAAGGAATACTAGCAGTGATGATATTTCTTAGTAAAGGTAACTTATTTTGGTGGATAGCCTGCTTGGTCTAGATTTTCCAGTCATGCCGATCAATTGAGAGGATGGGGCTATAAGAATCAAACTACAAGCTACAGAGGCCTGTTCGGCTACTTGTTCTATGTCCACGCTTCACGACCCTTTTTCGGGTAAAGTAACCCTGATCAGCATTAAACTCAACCTTATTTAGATTGGAATACGACACAGAGATGGTGTTCTATTGAAACTACCTTGTTGTGATATTGTCGTCATGTGAGAGGCTGGGTCCGCTAGAAATTACTACATCTCATGTGGCCATGTGGCAAAAGATAGCGTTGAGCTTTGAGCTCTGGCTAAAGATCTGACATGTTGCTGGAAAACGAAAGCCTGCTTCGCCGGAAGCGAAGAAGACATGAGGCAAATGGCTTGTCTAACTGTACTGACGCTAATCATGCAACTTCCAGATGTGGTTAGTAAAAGGGAACGGGAAGCTTATCCGAAGAGGCCCCCAGAATTAGTGGTTTCATTCGGGCCCGGGCGGCTCGGTCCGAGTCAACAGGTATGCTCTAGTAAGCCCGTTTAATCAGGCATGACAGCCGAAATATTGCGGATGCACCCAAAGCGGAAGGAAGCAGTACGGTGTCACAGATTCACCGCTACTAGAAGTATGATTTAAAAATAGTATAGCCTTAGGTCTTGTGTTTTTGCCTTCTTGCAGTTCAAATCAGATTCACGATCAGCATCCACGAACTACTGTAGCAATGTCGTCTTTGCGAACAGATAACAAGACTACGCCTAGAGCTAGCACAATCCAAGTGCCACCAGAACTATATCGGTACCTTATATCCACTCATACCTAAGACCCTATCCATTCTGTTCATCTCGCCCGATGAACTCCAGACTAACCAAAACCGCGACCTAGGAGACATCCCTCTAAGCCTCATATCACCGGCATCAGCCACTACCAATCTCTGTACTCGGCATCCATTCGCAATTCAGATTTATTCTGGTCGAAACTAGCTCGAGAATTGTTCGATTGGGATAATGACTTCCAAACAGCATGCTCTGGAGATTTCGCAAATGGTGATACAGCTTGGTTTCCAGAAGGCCGACTCAACGCCTCATACAACTGCGTCGATCGGCATGCCCTCAGAACACCCTCGAAACCCGCCATCATATATGAGGAAGACGCAGATGGAGAGACTCGGGTGATTACGTACAGTGAACTCCTCTGGAGCGTGTGCAAGCTATCATATGTCTTGCAAGACATGGGAGTATCCAAAGGGGACACTGTTACAATCTACATGCCCATGGTTCCCGAGGCTCTTATTGCCATGCTTGCGTGCGCGCGGATTGGTGCGGTTCATTCTGTTGTTTTCGCTGGCTTCTCGGCGGAAGCACTGGAAGGAAGGATACTAGATGCGAAGTCCAAACTCATCATTACAAGTGATGAGGCCCGAAGAGCGGGAAAGACCATTCCAATGAAAAGTGTGGTTGACCAAGCGTTGAGTTCTTGCCCTGGAGTCACTGGATGTCTGGTTTTCAAAAGAACTGGCATAACCCCTACGCCTTGGACCCCCTCGCGAGATCGGTGGTGGCATGAAGAAGTTCAAAAATGGCCCGACTATATGGCGCCTGAGGACCTACTAGCTGAGCATCCACTGTTCCTGCTCTATACCTCGGGGTCTACCGGAAAGCCCAAAGGTCTCATGCATACAACAGCCGGCTACCTCCTTGGAGCCGCTGCGACGACAAAGTATGTTTTTGATCTTCACGAGCAAGATGTCTTTTTTTGTGCAGGAGATATTGGCTGGATCACTGGACACACGTACATGTGTTATGGTCCACTACTACTTGGATCAACAACAATAGTTTGTGAAGGCACGCCAACATTTCCCAGCCCCTCCAGATACTGGAACATCATCGAGAAACACAACGTCACACATTTCTACACCGCACCTACAGTACTACGATTACTGAAAAAAGCCGGTTCTGAACCAAGTCCTGAACAGGTTTCCAAGGTGAGGGTTTTGGGGTCTATCGGAGAGCCTATTGCCCCAGAAGTTTGGCTCTGGTATTATGAGTCGGTAGGAAAGAAAAAAGCTCATGTCATCGATGTCCAGCTCCCCAATCGATTCCACTCCAGTGAATAATGATAGCTAACGCCTTCCAGACATACTTCCAAACTGAGACGGGATGCCATGCCCTTGCCCCACTAGCCGGAGTCACTCCCACCAAGCCTGGCTGTGCATCTGTTCCCTTCTTCGGCATTGACCCTGTACTTCTTGATCCCTTCACAGGAAGTGAGATCGTCGGTTGCAACAAGGAAGGCTATCTTGCTTTTAGGCAACCTTGGCCAAGCATGGCTCGCTCAGTCTGGGGTGATCATTCGAGATTTATTGAGACGTATTTCAGCCAGTATAAGGGCTACTACGTAGGTCTAGAAACATTGTACAGGCTAAATTCAGCTTCAAGACCTGGCTAACAGTACCAATTACAGTTGACTGGTGATGGAGCGTATCGGGATTCTGAGGGTGATTATTGGATATGTGGTCGTATTGACGATGTGATCAACGTCAGTGGGCATCGACTTTCTACAGCTGAATTAGAAGCTGCGCTTTTGGAACATCGTGAGTATCTCCACTTGTCACCAGCCTATACCCGAGTCAAAACGAAAAAAAAAAGGAAACAAAATGGTGAATTCTTGTGAGAAGCTAGAAAGTTCAGATAGCGCTAACAAAATTCCTTTCGTAATAGCTACGGTCTCTGAAGCAGCTGTTGTCGGTGTACCCGACGAGATGACAGGCCAAGCATTGTTATGTTTTGTCTCTGTCAAAGACAGCCACAAACATGACAGCACACTCAACGTAACGGCCAAGTCCCATATCAGGAAAGCCATTGGTGGGTTTGCGGCCCCAAAATTCTTTATAGTAGTTTCCGATATTCCTAAGACTCGATCTGGTAAGATCATGCGAAGGATTTTGAGGAAGATCTTTGAAGGAGAGAAAGAGAACTTTGGGGATGTCTCGACGGTGAGTGATGTTAGCAGTGTGAGTGTACGACTATGTACTAATAAAGTATCAAGCTCATCAATCCGGCCTCTATTCAGACGGTTGTTGAGGAGGTTGAGGCGTTTAAAAAGGCATCGATGTTTACATAGCTTCTCCTTTCCTACATATATATGATTTCAGGCTGACTTATTTGTTGTTCCGAGACCTCTTTCCATCCCTCACACGCCCGTAGTAGCCTGCCTGAACTTTCCAACTAATAGGACTTCAACTGCGTATAGCTGATCCATCAGTAAGATCTCTCTCGTCAATGCTAAAGAGATGGGTGAAAACATAGGATAGATAGTCTGATATCACAAACACATAAGTCTAGTCACTTTCCAGTAGGCTTTGTTCACGCATAATCCATCGCTTGTAAACCTACATACAAATGTCAATCGTTGATTTTTCTTTCTTCCAGCACATATGCAATCTCATTTGACATGGCCTCGTCTTCATAACGATAATGAATTTGGGGGAACAATAGTTCAATATATGGCTAAAGGAACAAAGAATAAAGTGGAACATATCTGCATAAAGGGATATATTTAATGAAGAGTGTGCAGGGCTGTTGCATTAACAAAGGCAGCAGCATGGTCAAACACCGAGATCATGAAAGACATCCATACATCTTACTTGTTCCCACTTCTCCATTAACCAAAGGAGAAAAGCAATGCCATTCGATCTTGATATCGATTCTGTCTGAAACCAGCTCGAGTACTTATCAAAAAAGAGACACTCCATACTTTACGATATCAGGATCCTTCAAAAACCTCTCCATAACATCCGTCTCCAAGCCC